TCTCTGTGGGTGAATATAAATATATAAAACAAACAGCGCGCGTTTAGCTGCAAAACTAAAAATAGGAAGCCTGGAATCCGGCTCCTGGGCTCCTCTTGCCGCTGGACCACACAGTGTGGGTGCTCATGTTGGGGGATATGGCCCCCCACTCCCTTCCAGCCCCCCAGCCCTCATGGGGGGGCACTCTGGGTTTCCACTAGGAACAGTTCATTCTTTCACTCTGGCTCCCTCCACCCGCGTCCGCTTGACAGCTCATTTCATTAATGACCCCAAAATGAGCCGACCCGCTGAGGCGCATTCCGTGCTCATGCGGCCGAGCAGGCGTGTCTGGTGGGGCGGAGAGCTGGTCCCTGGGCCATGCTGGGGGGACCTGAGTGGCTATGTTCACGGCGTGCAGTCTGGGGCAAGGGGGGAGCAAAGCAGGCCAGGGCCTGTGTCCAGCTCGGTCCTGCCCCATGACACCAGCGCTGGCCCAGCACGGAAATAACCCTCTCAGCTGGCTCCTCGGACCCTCGGAAAGGTTTCTCCTTGGGCACTCGCCATTATCTCAGGCCTGCCAAAACTCTGCCAGGACTCGCATTTTTCAGAATAAAAGCCAAAGCTACCCGCGTGGCGAGAAGCCTGGTGGATCAGGGTTGCTCCCTGAGGCCAGCGGGGCAAGTCAGCCACTTCACCCCTCAGGAGGTGCCAGGCACAACCCGGTGCGCAGGAGGCGCCTCTGGAGCCACAAGGCGGAAGCGCCCTCCCAGACCATTGCCGGCCAGTCATGGTCTATGGGAACTGTGGCGGGGGGGCCGGAGAAACTTCTGGCACAGCCCAAATCAGAGGGACTCCTAGAGCCTCTGAAATGAGGTTCTGGGGTCCAAGGGCTCCTGGACTCTGCAATGAGGTGGCCTCCTCACCCTGGACCAGCTGCTTCACGTCCTACCTCCTGCTGGTGGCTCAGGGGAGGTGGGAAGGTAGGGTCAGGGCTAGGGCTCTGGGAGGCTGGGGTTGCTAGACTACAGATGTCAACCTTCCTTTTAGGTGGGGCAAACCGCTGTCCCAAAGCAGGGCCTTTAGGGACCATGAGACCCGTGATTCTGCTACATACCTGGAACACAATAGGTGTTCGTGTAAGATTTGAATTAAAAAAGGCTCAGAGAGGGACCGGGCCCTTGCACAGTTAAAGGAGGGGAGAAAACCCTTCTCCCACATCAGGACATTTCCCCCGCCCTTCCAGGGGCAGCCATCCTGAGGTTAGGAAGTTCTTCCTAATACCTAACCTGAATTCTGGCTGCAATTGAGGCAGGAAGGGAATGTCCACTCTCTCCTCCTGCTGCCACCTGCAGGCCACTGCGGTTACTGCAGTGCTTCCCCCAGCAGCCTTAAAACTGTGTGACCCCACGCAAGCCCTACTTCTCTGGGCCTCAGTTTCCCCCTGAGGAAGCTGGCTGTGCTGGTCTGTGCCTGGGAGGGAGGGTGGGGGTGACAGTGATGGAGCTTTGAGTCAGGGGCTCCGGAGCACACAGTTTCTCTCCCATCAGCTGTGGCACCAAAGTGTGGCTGGTGGGGAGGGGCTTGGACTGTGGTCGCCTCATAACCTCCGTCACCAGTACTCAGTGGCCCCAGATAAGCGCACATATGGAAGCAGTGTCGGCCTGTAGACGCTGCTTCAGGACCAGCCCTCTCCCCCAGGCAGGTGCGCCTCAGAGCACATCCCAGAGAGAAATGCTGCAGCTGTGGCTGGGATCCTGCTCCCAGAAGAACCTGCTGCCCCCTCAGGCAGAGCGGGTGCCGGGGGCGGGACGCGGCGGGGTTGGGCTGGGGAAATGGAACTTCCTGTTGGGTGTTGGGTTTCAGGCAGACCAACCAAACTGAACAGGGCTAAATCTTGGGATTAGCTTTTGAAGTGGGTACTTTCACTCAAAAATAAAGCCTGTTTTATGAAAATTCCCCTCCACAAGTCCCAACTAGACAGGCATGGTGGGCCAGGCCCCCTGGCTGGCAGGGTGGGAGGGGGCCTGCCATGACGGGTCCCCCGCGCCATCACACCCACAGCCTCCATCACCAGGCTGCGGTCCTCGCTCAGCCACCACCAACTCCCGGGAGATGTGAACCCGACGACACCCTCTCTTTGCTCCTCAGTTGCTTCATCTGCAAAATGGGGGAGCGCCCATAGCTGCTGTGTTGCCGTTCTGATAGCCACTAACGTGCCGACATGTCAGCAAGCCCAGGTCCCAGGGGGGCGCTCTCTCCCTGGGGCTGAGGATGCTCCGCCGGCCTCTGCCCTGGGCACAAGCTGCAAGAGTCGCCCTGCGGCTTCTGCTCAGTTGTGAAAAATCACAGGCCACTCGTGAGGGGAGAAGGGGTGGTGGTACCCTGAAGTGGTGGTATCTGACATTCCTCTGGTGTCCCCACCACGGCAGGAGGAAGCCTCATCGGCTGTCCTTGCCTGAGGTGGGTTCTGTGGCCACTCCTGACGGAGCTGATGGGCCGGGGGGGGGGGGGGGGCGGTGAGGAGGGGCGTCTCCACAGCAGTGGGCTTAGTCCTCTTCCTGCCCAGAGGCCCTGCCCCATTCCTCCCCCACCTCCCATGCACACAGCCCTAGGGGCCTAGTATTGGAATCCTTCAACACATCTCAGTTATATTATTATAACAAATCAGTCAAAATTCCATTTTACAGTTAAATATTACAAAGGAATACAGTTTACTGTGAGTAAGTTGTGCATTAAAAACAAACACACCAAGCAAATTATAGTGCAAAGCAGTTTCCACCCTTCCCCACCCTCTTCCCAGCTCCGGGACAGGACGGTTTCTGGCAGATGTGAGTGTAGCAGGTATTAACACCTCAGCATGACAATATGTCACGATGAGTCTGTACCCACCACCAACAGACTTACAGTAAGATGGTATCAAACCCTTTGTTATCTTGTGCTTTCTACTTCAGTGTTTGCCTAGCATAACTTTAAAGTAGCCTTGTAAATACGGACCCACTTCTACATGCCCAGGCGATCTGTACTGACTGTGGGTCTTAAGACTCAGCATGGCTGCTGTCACTTTTTGTCAGGGGGTGGGGGTAGGGTCAATTTATTTCCTGTCCCTGCCTCTACCAGGGCTTGGATATCAGGAAGGGGTAGTAATCTGGGGTGGGGTTACAAAGTGCTGGACTCTGGGAACCCGAGGGTGCCTCCCACACAAGCCTAGGCCAGTCTGCGACCACAGAGAGCAGGAAAGAAGATCCAAGACAACGGATTTGTGGCTGCTTCCTGAGAAGGGGTGGGGAGTCCCCCTGGGTGCACGGAGTCAGCAGGATACCCCCCAGCAGCTCTTTTGAAGAGATGGAGACTGCTTTTTCCAGTGAGGGCAGGACAAGAGAAACTGCAGCAGGAAGGGTTTGAATAAGATCGCCAGGAGGACTTCCTAATCTGCCAGTCAGTGTGTAACCCATGTGCTTATCTGGCTGTTGTTACAGGTTGGGGGTGGGGCGGCAGGCCAAGCGCTCGCTATGACACAGACAACCGCTAAGGAGCATTTTGTAGGGGAGATTTCCACATCCAGAGGATGTGGCTGAAATAACTGCTAAAAACCACATGCTGTCTACCCCTTACGCATTTTCTTGCCCCTTTCCACATAAGCTTTCCCAGAATTAAAGAACTCAGACACGGGAGTCCACGCAGCCTGAACCCTCGGGCGAGGCTCGTTTTCCCACTTGCAAACCTAAGGGGCAGCCCCTCACCTCTGAGCACGGGGGCGAGGTGCTGAGCTGAGGCTGCTGAGTTCTTCGCACCGTTCTACCATCACCTGGCCGCTGCTCTCCGCCTCTCGCCTCCCACCCACCTGCGCCAGAGCACCCAGGACATCCTCTTAGACAAGGGTCTAAGAGCCATACATGGGAGATTCCAGCATCTCACCAGCGTTTCCCTTGGTCCCCACCAGGGCCAGCCTTTGGGGGATGTTGGGGTGCTGCCAAAGGAAGGCGACCCGTGGCGGAGGTATCAAGGTCCTAACAATGCCACTCGGGAGAGGGCATATTGTTTATCACTACGGGGCTTCACCTGTAAGAGTTTGAAAATGTTTGACTAAAGCTTCTTTTCCTAAAATGTGCTTTAAAAACTAGTTTTTGTTCAGGACGGCTTTTAGACCATAGATTGGTTCAAGGGAGGAGCTGTATGTCAAAGGTCAGAAGGCGTGCCTGCAGGGTACGGGGTGTACACAGCTTGGCTGGACCTGGGTGGGACAGGTATGTTGACATCTGACTCCCATGCTTTCTGCTAGTTCCTCTCTGGCCCCTGTGCTTTCCCCTAAAATTGCAATATTGAGACCAGCCTGGGGTGCAGGGGGACCCCTGGCCCCCTACCAAGAGAACGGTGGGTAAGTGCCTTGGGCTGGTAAAGTGCTTGGAGGGCCCGTCTGCTGGTGCCTTCCCTGGTCAGGGAGCTGCTGCCACAGGCTGGTCTGCTCTGGGGCTTGGAAACCCCAGGTAGCTGGGTAGGGACAGGGGCTTCTTAGCTGTTAGGAATTGTGGGGGGGACTGGCTTGGGGTTGCCCTTATCCCATGTCTGCCAGTGATGTTTTGGGAACTCTGGATGGGTCCCTTCCCCATCTATACAATGAGGGGAACCCCTCTTAGGGCGGGGGGTACTTTCCAGTTCTGCCTCAATTTGTGTAAATGCGGAGGAAAGGCTGGGCCCATGGGTGTCTGAGGAAAGTGGGGGTGGGGAGGTCTTTCCAGGGCCCTGTGACAACACTGGGCCTTGCTAGGGACAGCCAGGTCATCAGGAGAGGCGGCAAGACGAGGATGCGTTACCCAGAGGAAAGTGGGGTGAGATGATTAAGATGTGGGATGGGGTCGCCCCACCCCTCTGTACAAAGGCGTGGCCGGGCCAGGTGCTCTCGGAGGCACCCACCAGCTCTGGGCCCGCAACCGCCCCGAGCCTTGGAGCTGGGCCAGCCACTTGCCAGGAAGGTTCTTGGGGTCCCTGCTTCCACGGGGAGCAGTCCGCTGTGACCCGGGAGGTCAGTAGGGCCGCCACACTGCCTCGTCCATGCGGCCCGGGGTGCTCAAGGCGGTGGGTGAGTTGCTGTGGCTGCCATCGGCCTCCACGCCGTCGCTCTGGCCGCCCAGGCTGGGGTTCATGAGGTTGCCGGTGGCCACGGAGGCGGCACTGCTGGTACAGGAGGCCAGCATGCGTGTGGGCGAGCGGTCGCCCCCGCCGCTGCTGCCGGCCACCATGGAGAACTGGTAGGAGCCAGAGGATGCACCGTAGTAGAGGTGGTAAGGGGACGGGTTGGCCTGGAAGGGCCCGCTCTGGTTCTGCGGGGCCCCAGGGTAGGGCGGCGGGAGGTAGGTGTGGTGGAAGCGGCTGGTGGCCGGCATGCTGGCCACGCTGAGGCTGCTGATGCTCGTGCCCGAGGGCGTCGCGCTGTAGGGGAAGGCAGCCGACATGGCCCCCGGGTAATGCATCCTGGGGTCCGGGAAGCGGCTATCCGTGAGGGTCTGCAGCGTTGGGAAGGAGCGGTCGAACTGCCGGGGGTCGGAGAACGGGTTCAGGTCTGAGGTGCCTGGGAGATGGCAAGAAGGACGGTCAGTCACAGCTGGACACCACCCCCGCAGCCTTTTATAAGGACGACCTTGGTTAACAGGGTCAAAGACATGGTGACAGGAGGAGACTGACTGGGCTTTGGGGAGTGAGCACACAATAGAGTATACCGACGTATCATACAGGCGTACACTGGAAATTTGTGTATCTCATTAACCAGTGTTGCCCCAATACATTTAATTTCAAAAAAAAAAAAAGAGAACGACCTCAGGGCTCTGTTCACAGGCCCATGGGGAGGCTCCCTGGTTCTACATCTGTCTCTGCTCTTACAGCCTCGGCTGCGTGAGGGCAGGAGCCGTCCTGACTGTGAATAGGGCCCCGCCTGGAGAGCAGGTGGGAGCAGGTGCCCGGGCCGAAGGTGGCTGCGGGCGCCTCCCCGCGCCGATGGAGAAGGGGGCTCTTCTTTACCTCACGGACTCCTCTTCGTAACCTAGCAGCATGGAGGCCTGCCGAGGGGCTGAAGGTGGGCCCTGCCAGGGCTGTTGGAGGGCTGGGGGGCTGACGGGGACAGCATAGGCCTGGCCCGGAGCTTCTGCCTCCCTCCCTCCCAGGGAAGAGCTGGCAAAACCGTGGGTGCGAAGGGGGTCTGCAATGGCCCTGTGAGAAGGGGGTCTGGAGCCTGCTTCTGCAGACAGGGAAACCGAGGCAGAGAGAAAGATTAATTTTCCGGATGTTGCAGAAAGGACTCAAGCTCCTTGGGAGGCCTCTGCTTGCTGCTCTTTGCTGGGGTGCTGGGCACGCCCACGTCTCTCCTGCCCGAGGCAGGGACGGGCTCAATCAGGCTACGTGAGCTTATGCCTGTGGTGGGGGCGAGGTCCAGAGCAGCTCTGCGTGCCCCTGCCCCTATCCCTCGCCCTGGGCCTGTGTCTCCAGGGCTGCCTTGCCGACAGTAATGAGAGGCCGGCCACCTTCATTTGTCTCAACAGCAAAGTGAGATGGCAGCCAGAGGGGCTTGGGGGGCCTGGACGCTGCCTTTGTCAGGGAGAGACCCAGTGTCCAGCCCGGGTTCTGCCCAGCTCCCCCCGTTTGGCTCCCCACTGGACTCCAAGACAGCCCCTGCTCCTACTTTTGCATTCACTGACCCCCCCAAACCTCAGCATTCAAAGGGGCTTTGGGATTGAGTCTAACTCCCTCAGTAGGAAAACTGAGACCCAGAGAGGGCGAGGCACTTGCCTAAGGGTCACACAGCACACTGGACCTGGCACCAAACCCTAGGGTTCTAATTCTGGGCCACAATGTGGGCCTGACAGGTATCTGAGGCAGCGCAGCACGGAGGTTAACTGTGTGGGCTCTGCATTTGGATACTTAGCTTGGTTCTGACACTGCCTAGCTGTGTGTCCGTGGGCAGGTTACTTAACCTCTCTGTGCATAAGTCTTTTCTCACGAAACATGGAGACAGTGACTGATCCCAGGAATTACACTAGTTAATACTAGTGCTCAGACTGGGCAGGGAGCAGAGGCCTGATGCAGGCCTGTGTGGCTGCAGGGGCTGTGACACCTCCTGCTCTGGGCCGCCAGGAGAACTGGCCCACCCAGGGCCCTGCCAGTGATCCCCGGACCCCGAGCCCGCCTTGTTGCCCTGGCCATGGGGGTGGCAGCAGTGAGGACGTGCGGGAGCCCCAGCAGTGGCCCCGAGGGCAAGTCTGCCTGGCCCCGGCCCCACCACAGGGGGTTCGGGGAGACCGGCTGTGGCCCCTGGGCGGCCCCAGGATGGCACTGTCCCCAGTGAAGGAGGCCTACCTGAGGACAGAGAGCTGCAGCTGCCCTCAGGCCTCTTTTCCCTGGATCTGCCTGACATGCTGCGTGACCTCAGGGGAGACCTGCAACTTTTCTGGGCCTTGGGGTCTCGTGCCTCAGCTGGGGAGCGTTTCCTCAGCAGTGGGCTCTGGTCCTGCTTGTGGATCAGAAGGGAAGGATTCTCCGGGGCTTAAGGTGGGGGGATGTGGGGGCAAGGGTCCTCCTGGAATGTCTGGTCCCCTCCCTACCAGGCTCCTTGGCTGGTCGTTGCTGCCTTGATGCCTCGAGGGCCAGAGGTGGCTGGCTGCCCCCGAGAGCCCCAGGGGAAAAGGTCTTGTTGGCCGTGCCTAGCACCCCAAACGCAGCCGCGCTTGAGGCCGACTCCTCTGCTCTGAGCCCAGGAAGTGCGTGCTGCCCACCCGACAGGAACCCCATTCTCAAAGCTGAGGAAACCCAAACGGAGCCCAGGGTGAGACAGCAGGGCCACAGCCCAGCACACGCGGGCCAGGCGCGGAGGGCCGGGCCTGGCGTGTGCGGCCGCTGGAGTTCGCACGGGCTATGGGCTCTGCACTGGGCCTGCCCAGGCTGCCACTGTCCCCTCCTGCCTCCCTCCCGGAATGGCGGGGAAGCGTCTGCCCTCGGCACCCCTGAGGCTCCTGCCCCCAGCCCCTCCCAACCCAGTAGCCCCAGGAAACCGGAGCTGGCCGGCTGTCGAGCGGCCAATCCCAACACTGGAAGGAAATGTTTATTTTCTTCTCCAAATTGCCCCAGCTGCTGCGTGGTAGCTGAATGAGGCCTTTGAGCTGTTAGAAGCCCCCATTGTGGGCAGCCGCAGCTGGGGGGGGCTGGGGGCCAGGGTTTGGAGGGGATGGGGCCTTGGCACTGCTTGCCACTGACCAAAGCCAGGGGGTCAAAGCTATTAACAGGCACTAAGAGAAGCGGCGGTGGGTGTCCTGACGGGATCCCCAGGATGGAGTCTGAAGGCAGAGGCTGGTCCCACCAGGAGCAGAGACCGTGAAAGGGCCCCAAGCACAGCCTAGCCAATGCCCCTTTGTGGCAGATACCGCCTTCTTCCCACTTTACAGATGAGAAAACTAAGGTCCAGGGACATAAAGTGGCTAGCCTAGGGACAAAGAGCAAGTGCCTGGCAGAGGCAGGATTCCAAGCCCGGTTCATATGACTGCAAAGTTCATCCTCCTTCCCTGGTCCTGGTTGTCAAGAGTCCTTCCCCTCACTCCAAAGGGGACAGGTGTGTGGAAGGGGAGGTCTGGCTGGGTTGAAAGGCCACCTAGGTGGCCTGAGCCAGTGCTGTGGGTGGTCAGGGTGGGGCTGGGGGGCCTGGCCTAGGATGAAGCAGAAGGGGAAGGACTGGGTCAGCTATGCCCCACCCAGGCCTTCCCCACCTCTCCTCCCAGCCCCAGAATAGAGGCCGGGTTTTGCCTGCTGCCAGGCTAGACCCTGCCCTTTGGGGCTGCACAGAGAGAGGGTGGGGAGCCTGCCTCAGGCTTCCCCAGGCACTGAATCCCCAGCCGTATCCACACAACTCTGGGAGGGCAGAGGCCGGCTCTCCTTCCATGGGAACTGCCACCTGCTGGATTCTGGGTCTCCCTGGCTGGGCCCCAATACCCCACTGGGCCCCTACGGCAGAGCAAGGCCGGGAGTGTTAGGTTATTGTGCCTTGACAAATGCTGGCCTGTGGGAAACAGGAGCACAGACAGTTTTGGGGCAGGGGTGGCCACGGGCACCTCCCACTGCCTCTTACAGTCAGATCGCAGCCTCAGCCTCCTACCCCCAGCTCAAGGGCTGCGCATAGGCTCGGAGCCGCTGGACCCGGGGCCCCTCCCCACCTCACCGAGGCCCAGCTTCTCGGGCCAGAATGAGAGGAAACTTCTCTTTACACTAAGGGCCTATATCAAGTCTGCCACCATCACTGATTTGCCAAATGGTTTCTAACCAGGCCCTGGAGGGCCGAAAAAGAATGACAGTCACAGAGTGTGACGTCGGCCGGCCCTCCTGCCTCTGCTCAGGACTGCCGATGAGTGCGCTCTGCCCCAGCCTGGCCCAAGGGCCTGCTGTGCACACAGCCTCCAGTGCCCAACCCACTGGCTGACAGAGCCTGGAGAACAGTAAATATTCACCATCCAACCATTTACTGAGCGCTGGCTAAGAGCCAGGCATCCGTCTACTCTGGAAGGCCTGCCTGAGACCTAGCTTTGACTGCACCTGCTGTATCCATCCAGGCAATAGGGGGAGAGAGCCCTTCCTGGGCCTCAGCCCCGAAGCCTTCCTCCTCCCTTCTGCTTGTGGGAGTCTCTGGGCCGTGGGACCTTTCCCAGGAGATGCTGCATATCTCCCCAGGGCTGCAACATCACTTTACAGTTCACCAAGTTTGTCTGAGTGCAGCAACAGCATTTGAATGTCACCCCAGCCCTGGGCAGAGGCATCGCCACCACCCCACTTTCACATGAGAAAGCTGAGGCTTGGAGGGTGGCATGTCATCAGCAGGGACACGTTTGCCACAGGCTCCTCGGACAAGTCATGCCCCAATTGTAACGGATGCACTATAAGACGAGTGCATATTTCCCCAGGGGACAGTGAGCTCCTGCAGGACAGGGATCGCGTCTGTTCCCGCAGGTCCCGGGGCTGGGCGCCCGCATGGCACATAATGGGTGTCAATAAACGCTCGCTGTATGAGTAACTGAAGGGCCTCGTCTAGGCCCAGGCACAGGGCATCCCTCAGCAAACCTCTGTAGGAGCAAATGAGCATGGCTGCCCCCGTCGTAACACAAGAGCGACGCAGTGAACAACTTCCGGGTGAACTTCTGTCCAGAGCACAAGGACCACGTCCAGGTCCTCTTCCACCTCCCCCCGCTGCAGTCCCTGCTGTGCCGTACCTTGGATGGGGGTCTGCGCCTGGCTGTTGAAGTGGCTTGTGGTACTGAGCGAGCCGCGGGGGCTGGGCATGCTTGGCGTCACCCGCATGCGCACCCGTTCCAGGTCCCCGAAGCGGTCGGAGAATGCCTTGGTCTGGTCCTCCAGCTTCTGCCGGTGCCCTGCAGAGCATGGGGAGCCCATCAGCAGCGGGTTCCGGGTGTCTCAGTGGGGCGGAAATGCCTCGCTCCGTGGGGAAGTTCTCCCTGAGGTCTAACATTAGGCCTCTGCAGGGAGAACCCTTCGGTCACTGCCTGCCTCTTTCCTCAGGTTCTCCCCAGACTTTCTGAACAGACCAAGGTCACATGTACTGCCCTGGGGCTGCCATCATGGTCCCACCCCAACCTCCTTGAGCAGGAATACTCATTCTCATTCTTGAACCTCTACAGCACACTGTTTGGCAGAAGGGGAAACTGAGGCAACAGACACGGGCAAGTGCCTCAAGCAGGCTCTGGCAGGGAATAAGGGAGAATCCGGGAGTGCCACAGCCCTCTGTCTGCCAGCGTCCTAGACCCCACCCCTCACCACTGAGAGGCAGCCGGGGAATGGGACTGTCCCCGGTCCCCTCCAGCCCTCAGTCACCCTGGTACCCACATGCTTTCTCCTCTCTGGGCTTCAGAGAGAAGGGAAAATTCACCAGGGTGCTGAGGAAAGGTACGGGGCACCTCCCTGAGGGGCTGGCCTCCCGTCTCTGGCTGGAAGCTGGGGGCGGGGGCCGGTGCACCTGGCTTGGGACACTGCACCTGGAGAAAATGCCAGCATTTCCCATCAGCCCTCTGCCATGGCCCACGGAGGAAGGACTCCAGCCTCGTCTCCTAGGCCCTAGGGGTGCTGGCCGCATGAAGGTGGCCATGCTCCTGCCTTCGTGCCGCTTCTTGAAAGATGTCAGGCTTATAGGGACACCGCGCACATACACCCTACTTGTCAATGAACCATTTTACATTTCACAAGCTACACATGAACATCTACAAAAATAAAAGCATTACAGATAAGGCTATGGCTCCTTTGAGCCACCCAAAGCCCCTCCCCAGAAGTCCCCACAAGAGGTCTTTCCTTCCAGCCTCTTTTTGGTTTCACATGCGTGGAAAATACAGAGCAAGTTTCTCATGGAATTTTCTGTAACGGTCTTAGCCTGGCCGTATCATTCTGTCACTTGTTCTTCCAGTAGCATACCCTGGAGTGCTGCCTCAGTTTTCTCATCTGTAAAATGGGGAGGGTAAGCCAGCCCCGGGCAAACAACAGTTCCTACAAGGAGCCTGAGGAGGGCCGCACCGCGCTGCCTGTGGGCGCCCCTCGCTCCTACTGGGCACAGCCACCGGACACTGAGTCTACTCAGCTGTTCTTCCCAGATGGACACTTAGCTTGTTTCCAAATGTCCTGCTTTATTCCCTCACAGGCAATACCCCCAGGGACATCCTTGTTCACACCTCTCTGTTTCTGGGGATTTCTCCAGGGCAGACGCTGCTCAGCCCTCCTGGAGGCTAGCCCATTCTGCCCCCACCCAACCAGAGGAAGAAGGCCTGGCTGGCACTGGGCCTTTTCTTCTTTCTTCAGGCAAGAGAAATTGTGGCTCAGAGAGGTGAAGAGGCTTGCCCGAGGTCGCAGAGGAAGGGGGAAGGATTTCCTGGATCTGGGGTCTCTTGGAAAAGAAGTATGGGGAGGGGCAAGGGAGAGGGCAAGGCTGGCTTGACTCCTTAGGTCTGAAGTGAGGTGTGGGATTTGCTAGATTGACTGGGAGAGAAGAAGAGAGAGGTAGGTAGAAGGTAAAACAGAACTCCTCACCGGCCTTCCTGGGGCCTGGAAAGTGGCTTTCATGGGGCCTGGAAAGCGGCTTTCACGGGACCTGGAAAAGTGCTGACTGCCAGTGGGAGTGAGGGGCAGGAATGGGCCTGATGTCCGGATTTCACAGTAGCAAGGCAATGGGTTCTGGGACCCCCAGACTCCCAGGCTCTCCACAGCCCTGCCACAAGCTCAAATGGGCATCTGAGGGTCCTCAGAAATGGAGCAGGTCGTCCTGGGAGCCACAGTGGGCTCAGCAAGTCACTGAGAACCAGGGAATCCACTTCCTCCTCTGGAAGGTTCCAGGCCTAGAGCCCAGGGGACACTTGGTGGCAGTGGGGAGGCCATGAGGCCTCCAGCCAGGCCCGTGCTGCTGCCTCCCAGGACCCTTGGCAACAAAGAGAAAAATGTGAGCACGGCTGGAGCTGTGGTCGAAAAATTCAGATGCCTGTGGGGACTGGGCAAGTCAAGTAAGTGAGGCACATGGGATGGGTGGAGACTGGGGCAGACTAGAGAGGCTGCTCCTTGAAGAGGGGCAGTTAGCATCTAACCAGCTGACTGGTGCTCTGATGGCGGCGGGGGGTAGGGGGCGGTGGGCGATGTTGCCGGAGCTTCCGACTGACCAGGAGAGACCACAAACCTGCTGTTACAGGAAATCGCCCATATTTTGTATGTTGTCAATTAATTCAAATACTGAACAACAACAAAAACAAACTGATCACTTTGTAGGACGTGGCCTGCCCAGGGACTGCCAATTTGTAACTTTTGGGTTCAAAACTTCATTATCTGGTTAGTGTGGAACGTCAGCCACCAAGAGCTGGTTAATGGGTGCCCCTCAGGGGGCGGGTGCTAGGGGAGACCCGAAAGGCCCGGCCTCAGCCTGGGGAGGATTACCGCCCTTGCTGCTGACGCAGCCGAAAGCGGCAGAGCCAGGAGACAAACCGGGGGACGATGAATTCAGAGCAATCTCAACAGGCAGGAAGCTGGCCGGATGGACCTGGAGACCGCAGACTGACCTGACAGCAGCTTAGGTGCAGAGCACTGGGGTGCCTCAGTCAACCACAAACTTGAAGTGAGCCAATGGGGCTACACAAAAGCTGGTGCAAAACCTCAGGCCTCGTCACTAGCGTCACAGGCAAATAAAGCCCCGCTTCTGAGTCACACTGTGTACAAAGTGTTTACAGTTACTCTCGTGGCTCAGCAGGAGGAGGGCGGAGGTCACGGCAGGCTGGGGTTCGAGGACGGGCCCTGCTGCTCGCAGTCCGGTGGCCTCCCTAAACCCCTACCCCAGTGTCTGCCCCAGGCCGCAGCGTCCCCGTCGTGACGCCCGCACACGGTGCGGTGCCGGCTGGGCAGGTCCTGTGAACGCTCTCCCCCGGCACGGGTCATTGCCACGCTGACTGGACCTTCTACCCCAGCTCATTCCAAGGGACGCAGGGTGACCATCCTCCCCTCAGAGGCCAGGACGCTGAGGGCAGGGTGGTAAATCGTGCCTGGGACACAAAGCCGGGACACAAAGCCAGGACAGCAGAGCCAGCACTGTCATCCAGAACCCAAGAACTCCAAGAACAGATGGGACCACTGAGGCTTCAGAATGAGACCGACACTAAGTGCCTGGTTTGGGATGCAGACCAGGTGACCTGGCCCACAGCTACGTGGAGCTGGGTGCTGCGCACGGCTGGGGCTCCTGCCAGGGAAGGGCCCAGGGAAGCTGAGGCGGCGCCACCGCAGGGCTGCTGGAGAGTCTCAGTGCCCTGGGGCCTGCGTCTTCCCACTGGGAGCTGAATGGAACTTCCTGTGCCCGAGGAAAGAAGATGGGCCTGCAGAAGAGAACTCTTTCGCTTGGCCACCCACAGTGGTTCAATGACAAGGGCGGGGATCGCTTGCTGTGCCTCAGTTTCCCCTCTGCGCAGGCTGCTCACTGAGGCCCCTCTAGCTCTGGAAGTCCCTGTCTTAAGACTGCAAGGATGTGCAGCTGGCCAGAGTGGGGCCCCAAATGAAGGAGGCAGGTGGCTTGCCCCGGGGCCCACCCACCACCACCTCCTCCTGCTGTTTCTTGAGTATTCTTGGGCTCCCACACTTCAGAGTCACAGCTCAGGCACAGCCCGGCCAGCAATGTTCTCCTGTCCTTTGGGGATCAGCCTGGGAGCCTCCCCGCCAAGGAAGCCGCTTCCCCCGGCACGGAGCCCCACAGCACTGCCGCGGGCCAAGCGCAGTGGCAGCAGCAGTGGAATGAAACTCCCTCCACCCCAGGTCTGAGCGGGTGACGCGCACTGCTGTGTTTCACCCTGCGTCCTCCCACATGGAAGGTCTTCCGCTGTCCTCGTTTCATGGGTGTGTAAGCTGAGGCTTGGAGAGGGTCAATGACATGTTTGAGGTGGCACAGAAAGCACCGGGCCCCCTTCTATTTCTGGAGTCTGCCCTGCAGGAAAGGAGCCTGGGTTTTGAAAACCAGGGACTCCAGGCAATGGGTGTTGGGATCCAGCCCAGGCCCAGGGACCGGAGCAGCTCTCTGCAGGTCTGGGGGAATGGGCTGGGGAGAAGATGCAAGGGTCTGAGCGGACTTTTTCAGGAGCCCCACCCTGCTCTAGAGCTGAGAGGCCAACTCAGACCAATCACGCCCTGCTCTAACCCACCAGGTCCCTCTCCTCCTCTGGGGTGGTTTCCACACCTATAAAATGGCGATCATACCGCCAAGCCCTGAGAGTGAGGAGAGTTGAGGACAGACCCTGAGTGTTTAAAAATACAGCACTTTGCAGGAAGGATGGGGAGAACCTTGGCCCGCAGGACCTGGCTTACCGTCAGCCTCCAACAGCTGGGCTCAGATCACTGATGGCCTCTCCAGTGCGCATGCACATTGTCTACCAGGGCCACAAGCCTCTGAGAGGCTGCTATGGTCACCCCCATTTTACAGGTTGGAAAGTGGAGGCACGTGGTCAAGGTCAAACCTAGAGTGGCTGGCACATTGCATGGAGCTTGGCGGCTAAGGTTTTGGTTTCCTAAGATCTCCATGAGAGAAGAACTGGGTTGCCTGGCAATGAGGTCTGACTGGCAGGAAGCCAGCTCAGTGTCCTGCCTCAGCTGGGTGGAGGAGGACGGGAGGCCAACAGGGGCAGAGAGCAGGGCGCAGAGGAACTAGGCAGGGCCACAGGAACAGGGTCGTCTGTGGAACAATGTGGGCTCCAATTATGGGGCCCTTCACCCATATGAAGCCACTCAGCTGCCTCCTCGGCTGCCTGGCCCGGCTCTGGTGCGGCCACAACCCAGACACAGCAGCCACTGTCTGCCCAGCCATGGGGTGGGGCACCCGGGCCCTAGGCCCGCTCTGCGGCCTGTCAGGAGATTTACACCCGACTCTTAACAACCGCGTGGAATCGCAGGCTGGTGCTGGGCCCGGGGTGGTCTGCCGTGAATCGGCCCCCTGTGAGCAGATGAAAGCCGGTCGGGGGCTGGCGGGGGGCCAGCGGGCAGGGAGGCAGGCAGCTCCTTCCCAGGGCTGCAACTGGGGCTTCCAGCGGCCTGGGGTTGATTAGGGGAACCAGGGAGGTCTGAGGTTAACCCCTTCCCTCCTGCGGGGTGCACTCCCCTGGGGACCGCGGGGGTTCAGGAGCAGTCCGCTGTCCTCAACGGGGGCACCCCTCTGCCCGCACCTGGAGCTGAGGACAAAACTGTGGCAGCTTCAGAATCCTTAAAGGCCCAGCTGCAGGCTTGGGGTCACTTTCTCTGCCCATGCTGCCTGGAGCCTTCAGCAGCCACAATGACTGTTTGCTCCCTTCCCTCAGGCCCCTGCTCAAATGTCACCTCTTCGGGAGGTCTGCCCTGTCCCCCACCCCCGCTACGTCCCATCTCCTACACTCTGGCCGCTTACCCCCAGCTTTGCTTTTTTCCCATAGGACTTCACATGACCTGAAATTAATTAGCTTATCGTTTGTTTACTTCGTTTATTCCACAATATTTACTGAGCACCTACTAAGTGCTCCTGTTTGTATCCTGGGGTCTATACCAGTGCCTGGCAGAGCAGAGGAAAGGACCTCCACCCTGTGGAATGTATACAATAGTGGGGAAGATGAGAAAGAAATAAAATAAATGAGGGAACTGGAGAGCATCTTAGAAGGTGGTAAGGGCTTGAGGTAAAATTAAAGCCGGAACGTTGAAGGGGAAGCAGGGGGATTGCTGTGTGTCTGTGATTTGAAGCAGGGCGATCAGGAAAGGGCTCACTGCAGGTTTGAGGAAAGACTCCAGGCTGGGAAGGAGGGAGCCATGAATCTGGGGGTGTCTGGGGAGGAGCGTTCCAGCAGAGCAGGGTGGGGTGAGTGAGGAGGAAGGTGCTTGAGAGAAAGAGAGAGGAGCAAAAGGCACAGGTCAGGTGGAGCCTTGTTGCCATGGTGACAATAGAACTGTTTACCATCTCTCCACTCCTGTGTATGAGACCTGAGAGGGCTAGAGCCCATCTGTTGGGTTCACTGAGGCGTCTCCAGCTTCTAGAACAGTGTCTAACACATGGTAGGTGCCTAGGAAAACACTTGTTGAAATTATTCCATGTACGGTTTTGGGCGCGGCCCACGGGCCAGATGGCAGGGCTGCCCCCTCTCTGCCTCAGGCAGGATTAAGAACCTGGGTCTACCCTTTCAGGTACCACCACGCGTTAAGCCTGAAAGATGTGGGGTGAACGGTCCCCACACTGTGGTCCACGGCAGAATCGCCAGGCACCGTGCTGCCTCCTGCCCAGCTCCTGGGTCTCGCTCAACCACCTGCTTTGTAACTAGCCCCCAGTGACTGTGAGGGACACCGGCATTGAGAACCTCAGAAACCGAGGCCACACAGGCAGGAAGCCACCAAGCCAGCCTTCAAACCCAGCTGGCCACCTGGCTGCAGATCGGGCACACGCGCAGGGCACCGGAGGGGAACGAGCCAGCCACAGAACCCACAGCGGCCTCGGAGATCTTCAGGCTCCACTCCTGGGCTCCCTGCACCAGCCCCGACTCCTGTCCCACCCACACAAGGTTCCGCCCTCACATGGGGCTGGAGGTTACAAAGCAAGAGAAAGGGCCAGAAAGAAAATCCTACGACAACAACCCGCGAGGGTTCTTGGGCACTTCCTGCAGGCTAGGCAGCTGTAAGTTGGTTTAATGCTTGCAAGAACTCCCCAGGGAAGATGCTAATATCACCCCCGTTTTACAGATGAGCATATGAGATGAGAAGGCCCTCCCAAATGGCTCACTTTCCTGAGCCCCGGGTTCGAGCCCTGGGTGCACCAACGCTCACCTTTAGACAAGTGGCTTTGCCTCTTGCTCTGTCTCCTCCTGGGGCTACTGAGAATCAATTAACAGAGACTCTGAACAGGGCCTGGTCCTCCAAGAGGGCTCGGTGACCAGCAGCGGTTTGGCTGACCTCTTCTCTCTTATAGGTAGGGAAACTGAGGCCCTGAAAGGGGTGGCTGTGTCCAAGGTCACAGGCTGAAGGCCAGGCTGGGATTGGAGCCCAGGGTGCTGGGGAGACCAGCCCGGAGGGCAGGGGTGGGGCCAGGGGCAGGGGCAGACAGGTCCTGGGATGGGAGGCCTGGAGACCTGCCCACCTCCCACTGCTGCTCGTTTCTATAAATGAGCTTCTGCTAAGATTTTGTTTGAACAAGTCACTTTAAAACCACTGATACGGCCCATGCCAGGCCCGGAGAGGGACGCTGTCTGCCGCAGACCACGCAGCAGGCCTGGCCTCCGACTCGGGCTTATCTCCAGGCCCAGCTTTCCCTTCCTCTCGCTGTCTCTTCCGGTGCCACCCCTCCCCTCGAGCTCACGAGGTGGGGTGGCCTCAAGTCTGGGGGACCCCAAGAGAGAAGAGCAGCCAGGGGGTTTGAGTGGGGGCCAAGTCTCCTCCCTCACCCAGGAGCCTCCGTGGGGGGCCAGTGGGCAGCTCTGGGCTGGGCCAGTTGAACAGGGAGGGCTCTGGGGATTCCAGGCACTGCCCGGCCCCTGGGGACCTTCCTGCCAGGCTCCCAGCCGATCCTCTGCCCCACGTGCCTCTCTGCACTGGGTGCTCACTGCTTTGTGGAGTGACCCCTATGTGCTGCTGCATCACATGGAGCCCAATTGTGGCTCCTGTCCTTCCTGATTCTGCCCCTGGAGACTCAGAGTAAAACACCATCTCCTTCAACAGAAACTTGCACCTCTATTGCCAGGGCCTCGGGTTCTCAGCAGCCACCCTAATGGTGTGGTGGTGGGAGCCAGGGGGTGGCCAAGTTCCGGAGGTAATAGACCACTGCCATCCAGCGACTCACAAGGAGCCTCCCTCCGCTGCAGCCAGAGGCTGTCCACCTGTGGGCACTGACCTCTGGGCCTGCAGGGTGGGTGGTATTATCCCACTTCCTAGGGGAGGCAGCGGAGCCCCAGGAGGTCAGCAGCTTGCCCAAGGTCCCCCAGGCTGGCAGGCTGGCTGGCTGGCTCAGAATCTGCTCTCTGCACAGCGGCCTATGGCTCACAAGGGCTCCCCGGCCATCATCACCTTGAGGCTTTAGGGACCACTGACTCAGTTCACAGATGACAAAACTGAGGCCAAAAAGGAGACGCGACTTGTCCAGGACTGTGAAGCCCGAGGCCAGGGTCTGGACACATCCACATCCCATCCTAGCAGGAGTCTGGCCAGAATGGTAGCTGATGGCCTTCAGGCCCGATGACCGTGCACAGGAGCTCAGGGCAGGCGGCGGGAGGTGGCCTTGAGAGGCCCGGACCGAATGCTTCCAGGGCTACTGGGCCCAGCTAAGAGCTTCTCCCACGTAGCCAGAAACTGGAGTGGGCCCGGGAACTGGGCAGATGGGCAACCAGGCCTGGGTGGTCTCACTGACCACGCCCTGGCAGAGTCACTCTCCCGCTCTGAGCCTCCTGGGCACTGACAGAGACCAGGAGCGTGTCCTCCTGCCCCAGGCCTGCTCCCTCCGGAGTCAGGATCAAAGGCTGCCTCTGGGACACTGGATGCCTCCCCGAAGCTGAGACAGTGAGAGGCCCCAGCCAGGATCTCAATGTCCCCAGGCCTGGATTCTCTCCTCCCTGGAACTGGGTGACTCTTTGGCTCTGGCTGTCACGAGGATCCCACATGAGACAGACGATAAATGTGAGAGGGTTTTCTAAACTGCAAGGGGCCACAATTACAAAGAAAGAGACGGACAGGGCGGCTCTCAAAACACCAGGCGGACACGCGCGAGCGAGGGACAGTCCAGACAAGAGCTCCACTCAGAGCTCAGGAGGCAGCCAGTCCGGAGACGGCCACCTGGTTCCTTGTTTCATGCATTCGTTCACTCACTCCCTCACTCATCCAGGGAACAGAAGCCTCTGGCCCACGCTGTGGCAACTGCCCCTTCAGTCTCCCCAGTCTGAACCTGCAAACTCCAGGTTCTTCCGCAGGCAGGAGCAATCAAACACAAGCTCTCTCTGATGCTAAAATGCATGAACCAGGGTTCCCTGCACGTAGTAGGTGCTCAACAAGTATCTGCACAATCAAAGTTGCATTCCTGATCTTGAGAGTGCTGGGGTCAGGGGGCCTGGGCTCTGTGAGATTTAAGTCACATACTAAGATTCAAAGAAAGAGCTTCCAGGGAGGGGGTCTGGCTTTCCTCAGCCACTGGGAGAGGAAGGTGGGCGGCAATAGGGCACACCTGGCCCAACCTCCACCCCAAAACACACACTCTCTCTCAAGCCTTTTCCAGCCTCTTCCTTTCCTTAGTGATGCAAGTCCATACTTCCTAGCAGGCCCCCAAAGGCGGTCTCTCACTGGAAAGGGCTCAGCTGATCCTGCTGTCTCCCTGTCCCAGCCTCCGCGCTGGCCTCCCCGAGCCCAGGCCAAGCAGAGAGGGCCTGGGGCTTTGCTGGCAGGCACATGCTATGTCGGGGTACAGAGCGGAGGACCACAACCTCCCACAGGAGTGCTCTGAGGACCCAGTGCCATCTGTCTGACCTCGGTTACTGCCCTTCCCCCTGCAGACCCTCTTTCCCCCACCCCGGGGACTCAATGGCTCTGGCACTTACGTCTGGGCTCCCGGGGTCCGTCCACAGTCACCTTGATGGCTCGGTGGTAGGTGGCCACTTGGGTGGGGTTGGTGAACACGGTGATGGTCAGTGTGAAACTCTTCCCTGGGGGCAGTGGGGGAAAAGCAGGAGGTTGGTACCTGGAGTCATTCACAACACGCTGGTCTCCCACCTTGTCTGCCTCCCCAAGAAGCCCCTAACCTTCTAGAAGGGGTAGGTCTTTGTCCTTTGAACCTGGGCAGAAGATGGGGTTCTGGATATAAAGTTCAAGCTGCTGGGGTTGGCATTCAAGGCTCTGGGAAGCCTGGCACCAACTTTGTTGCCCACACCCCCCGTCCCTGCTCTGGCTGCCCCGGCTTCATTCCTCTCTGCTTCTTGTCCTGTTTGTGCTGTTCCTTCGATCCAGGGATCCTTGCAATTTTGGGATGGGGAGCAAGGATGGGGTGTGTGTGTGTGTGTGTGTGTGTGTGTGTGTGTGTGTGTGTGTGTGTGTGTGTGTGTGTGTGTGTTTGTTGTGTGTGTGTGTGTTTTCCTGAAAGTAATTAGTGATCTTTATAGAAAATTTTGAGAACATAAAAGATATGAAAAAGAAGAAACCACCCATGTTTCCATGAGCCAGAGATGAGTACTGTTACTATTTGGGTGTTTTCGCCTCTGATCCTTTTTGTGGGTGTATGTGTATTTAAAGAATTGCAGTGATTCTAAATTATATATTTTTGTACCCTGCTTTTTTCCCCACTTAACATCATATCATAAGCACTTTGCCATGTCATTAAAAATTCTTCATAAACTTCATTTTTAATGGCTGCAAAATATTTCAATTCACAGGAGCCTCATCTTTTATTTATCCACCCCCTTACTCTGGGGTAGTTAGGCTGCTGCTAATTTCTTATTGCTGTGCGCGGCTCAGGCTGCAGAAGGGCTGATTTGGGAGCTGCAGACGTTTCATTTGTAGACACAACTGTTATTTCCAGAACTCTGTTCTATTTTTAAATAGACATTTGGCTCCAAAGTCTCCATTCAAAATTCCTGAGAGGGGAAAAAACTTTTAAAATAATAATAATTTATTTTTTACCATTTGAAATAAAATGAAATGACCTTCTGTTTATAAAAATCTTTGTCCACACCTCTGCATATTTCCTTTGCATAGATTCCAAGAACTGGCAAGTGATTTCATCACATCAGAGGGTGGGGACATATTTAGGGACACTGATCTTTCTAGCGAGATGACTCTTCAGAGAGTCACAGTGACTGGCGCAAGGCTGCGTGTGGGTCACCCTGGTGCCGTCAACATCGCAGCCATGTCTATCGAGGTGGAAGGTCTTTTAAACTCTCCTGACTGAACTTGCCTGTCTTCTATTCCTAGTGAGAATGACACTTTTTACATGGTTATTATCAGTCCTAACCCAACACAGATTATGGCTTCGTGTTCTTTTATACTTCCCTACTGAGGTTTTAGTGCCTTTAAAACATCGCTCTGTGTTCGGCTTGTTAACACTTTCCACGTCCTGCTCGTGGCAGTCAGCCTCCTAGTTTGCCCGTTTTCACATTTCGCTTTCTGACTCTGTTTTGCATTTTCAGTTCTACCTCTGCCTTGCAATTTCTCCTCTTGTTTTTTTGTTTAGGCAGATTTCCCCATGTAACCAAGCAGATAAAGGTCTACCTCTGATACACTGTGTTCTCTTTCTACACCTAATTCTTTGATTCTTCTGGGTTTAAGGTAGGGATTTTTCCGCCAAGGGCAACCCCGGTTTTCCCAGCGCGTTCCCTGGAGTGAGGGCACCCTGCCCCCACCTGCTCTCTGCTGTCATTAAAGCCTCTGCACTAACGAGATTGGGAAGGTGAGGGCAGTTTCACTGATCCCCAAGTCAAACTTGGTCCCCTGTCTGAGCTACCTCTCTGTGGACCCCAGGTATAGGCTTGGGGGCTCCCTGAGGGCAGGGGCCATTGGCTCAGGGCACCTGTGTCCCCCAGGGCTGGCTCACGGTGGGCACTAGAGTGGGGGGCTGCCCGCGTGCTCCCAACAAGTCTCCAGTGCAGGCAGGCGGGTTTTGCTCTCCCTGCCCCACAGGCAGGAGACGAGCACTCAGGGCGGGACGGACGGCACAGTCCTCTTTGCGTGGTTCTTTCTGGGCACTCGTTGGTCCCGTCATCGAGTGAAACTCCAGCCCCGGAAGCAGGAGACCCGGGAACCCAAGTAAAGCAGCCGTGCGGCTGGGCCACACGGCGGAACCCACAGGCTCTGAGACACCAGGGCCGGAGAATGGGGCTCAGATTCAAGTGTGACTGGAGCTGGAAAGAAGGGGGCCTCTCGGGAAGGATTTTCCTGAGCCAGCCGGCTGGGCGGCAAGGGTGCAAATGCCAAAATTCGTACCTGCCCCTGGAGTTCTGGGTCAGAGGACAAACAGGACCCCTCCCTCTCAGACCACGGGGACACTTTCCATGGTTTCCCACACGCCTCCAGGGGCCCCCCCTCCTGCTTTCCCTCACTCTGAGGTCCCTTCTCTCCCAGAACCCCCTGCCCTCTACCAGTCTGGCCCTGCCTGGGAGCCCCTGGGCCTCTGTGCCTCGCGTCCTCGGTGCCGCAGGGCGCTGAGCAATGGGGAGTGCAGGGGACGGCAGAGGAGCCAGAGGGCAGCCAGGCCGGGTGGCTGCAACCACCTCCCAGTGCTCCTGTTTGTCACCTCAGCTCCCTCAGGTCTCTACTGAAAAGTCACCTTCTCAGTGAGTGCCTCCCCCCACCCCATTACTTTATCTAAAGTAGGGCTTTTTAACTTGGTATCTGTGGCCTCCTCTTAGAACTGAGCGGTGCCTGTGAACTGGGATAGGAAAAACAAAATGAAACAAAATGGCAATTGTATGGTCCCTAACCTCTAAATGAAATTTAGCATCTCTTTTGAGTATGAACATAGGCAACAAGCCACAAAGCATTACAGAAGTCCCTGTGACCTTGTCACAACGGACGTCATACGTATTCACATATCACATTACAGGCACTGCAGATTTCTCTAAATATCTCCTATGCTCGTCACAGCCTCAAAATCACGGTCGTCATCAGACCCATTGCGTGGTCTTATTATTTAATATGTTAACAAAGCGGCACATTTATCATCATTTTAAAAGACATCTTGCTAACTGTGTTTTAATATAATTGGTTTTCATTGTAATCCTTTGTATTTTATTTTGTTCCTTAAAAAGCATTATTCTGAGACTGTCAAAGGGGTCCCTGGGGTGAAAAAAGATTAAGCAGCTCAATCGGAAGCATCATAGACCCTCCCATTCCCATTCTCCCTGCTTGAATTTCCCCCAAATGCTTATTATGTCTAATGATTCATCTACTTATTTTATTTTGTCTCCTTCCACTACACTGCAGGCTCCCTGGGGGCCAGTATTCTTGTGGTGTTCCCTGCTGTATCCCCAGCCTCTTGGAGAGTATCTGGCATACAGTAGGTGCTCAATACATGTTTGTTCAATGAATTAAGGGCAGAGATTATTGCTCCCATTTTATAGATGAGAAAACTGAGACACAGGGGCATGGAGTGGACCAGGTCACCCAGGATCCAGGCAGGGCCCAGAAAGGTGAGAATGTGCGGGGCCAGCCCTTCCACACAGATACTAAGGACCCGCTGTCAGACCTGGGGGGCACACCACAGGCCACTCCTGAGGCCACCAGCCCCCCTCTCCAGCTTCCTCCCAGCTTCCTCCCAGTTTCCAGGCCTGGCACTACGGCTCCCAGTGCTCCCACAGAGGAGGAAGTGGGGAGGGAGGGAGGGAGGGAGAGGCTGGGACTGGGAGCAGGAGTGGGAGGGCAGAGCAGGTGGCAGGTGCCACAGGAGACAGGGGCCCTCCGAACCAGGGGTGAGGGAAAGCTGTCTTCCTGAGTGCCCCTTGCCCCTCTCGGTGGCCTGGCCGCAAACCCATCCAACATCTCTCTCCCTGTCTCGGAGGAAGAAGCTGCAAAGACAAAGAAGGTGGGCAACTTTGTACAGAACCCCCGGGACAATGCACAATCAGCCAGGAGTCTAGGAATTGCAAATCAAGGTACTCCAAGGGCTGGCCCTGCTTGGAGGGGGCGAGTCCTAATCTGGAAATAGCTGCCCCTTGGGGCTCTGAGTGGCCCCAGACATTCCCGCAGGACCTGGGGCCCTGGACCACTCGGCATGCACAACTGGGTCTGGCAGTGTGACCTTGGGCAGGTCCCTGTCCCTCTCAGTCAGGGTTTCCATGTGCGATGCCCCAACCATGGGGTTCATGGATAGCGAGAGGGGACACATCTCAGGGAACCTCTGGGCCAAGAAGCCATCTCTTTCCTCCCCACCAGTAGTTCCTCCTAAGCCTGCAAGCCACACATGTCACCCCAAATCTCTCTCCACCTACTACGGTTTCTTTTTAACCCGTTATTGACAGTTCGGGAACTCCTGCTCTTTACAATTTCACCTAGGCCCGTGGCCGCCTCCTAGAGGGAATTTTGGGGATTTGTGGAGTGTGGTCCTAAAGAGGTGGGATGCGGGCGTGGGGTGAGGGTGGGGGGGATGCAAATGTCCAGCGCTGCACAGGGCAGTGAAGTATTCATTCTTTCTGTGAGTGAAAAATTTGCTCATGAAGACTCTTTGAACTATGACCCTAACTGAATTTTGCATAAAACAAGGCATTTTTTTTTTTGCACACTTTTAATGTCTATGAATTTTCCAGAAGGAAAGAGAGTTTAAAAAAATTTTTTTTTTCAAAACTTTGCCAAGAATTGTTCCCAACTTCAGAAAATCATGTCATTGACGGCAGTGCGGCATTCCGACTGAGTGGCAGACACCTCACCTGCCCAGCTTGCCGTGGCTGTCATGGGGCTTCGGCCGGAGGTGTGAGCATCTGTCCACCGAACTGTGGCCTCACCCAACACTTACATATTCAAATATATATTTCATTATAAATTATTCCCCTCATTGTCCATTAGAGCTATAGAATTATACAGATTTTGAAATGGCGCATAAATAGGTAGGCTGCGTTACCTATGCATTTCATTGTGAGACTGTAAAAGGTGTATTTCAAATTATTTAAGAAGGGGGCACTGCGTCTGGCAGGGCAGGGACCTCAGCCTTAATCCCTGCGGGAGACACCAGTGCCTTGGTTTCCTTCCCTTCCTGTTCTTGTTTCACACCTTCAGGCTAATCGTGAGCTCTGTGGTGGTGGTATGTGCATGTCCTTCATGGAAAGGCATCTTCCTGGAATTCAGAGAGAATTGAGGAATAAAAAGCAAGGAAGCAAGCAGAAGTTTTCCTCTGGCTTCTGAGTCCAGGCAGAAGTCAGAGAGCCAGGGAAAAGCTCTGGCTCCCAAATCCCAGCCTGTCCCTTCTCCTGGCGCAGCCCGAACTGTCTGTGTCAATCCCTGATTTGTTCCCTCTGCGGGAATTTCCCAATGGGCAGGACGGGCACAGCAGATGTGCGGCCGCTCGCCACAGGACCCCTTCGCCCTTCTTCCTTACTGCCACCCGCCTCCACTTCTCCCACTCAACAGTTCACACCTTCTGGGTTTCCCCCACCCCCGCCCAAACCGCACCAGAATCAGAGAATCTGACAGTCACCACTGAAAAGGGCTTCAAAGATATCCTCTAGTCCCAGGCATTTGAAGTAACAAAATCTCTAACATGTATCCAGCTCTCAATATATGCCAACGGAAACACTTGTACCAAGTTCCTTAATCCTCACAAAATCCCACAAGGTAGGTATCATTCTTATCCCCATTTTACAGATGAGGAAACTGAGGCACAGAGAGAGTAAGCCATTTGCTCAATGTCATCCAGCAAGGCACACTGGTGAAACTGGGACTGAAATCCAAGTCAGCTGGTTTCAGAGCCTCCAAGGTCAAGTTCCAGAGGCATCAGAACCCCCATTCGGGCCTCTTCCTGCCTCCCAGGACCACTGAGGCTGGTGGGAGAAACTCGGCCTTCTGCTCTCCTTCCCAGTGCCACAACAATCCAGCCTCAGCTAGCTGTGCCCGCGCCAAGGCTGTGCTGTCCAACAGCGCTTCGGAAACCCGCCTCCCTCCCGGCAGGCCCTGCGGGGTGGGTGCAGGTCTGTGGGCATATATGCCACAAGGAAATCATTTTCAGCAGCAGGATGGCCAGGCAAGGTCTCAGGTAACTCAAAGAATCATCACCTCCTCTATGTCGCACCTCCTAGAAGAGGGGGATACGGTGCCACATTCCTGGTGCTGTCCTGGGCCCCAGGAACTGATCTTTCCTTCTGCCTCCCTCCCAAGGGGCTGAGGCCAGGGAGGGCCTCCCGCTCTGCCACCACTCCTGGGCCGGCAGACGGGGCCACCACCCCGCAGTGGAGCAGCACCCGAGCGAGCCACTGCCAAGCAGTGGCAGTTAGGGACTCTCCATTCAGGGCTGGGGCTGGGATTAAGTTGCAAAAGGCTTGAGATATTGGGGATGACAAAAGGAGCTTGGAGACTAATTAGGAGCAGCAATGAAAGCTTAATTCATAAAAGCAAACATTTTCCATCCATCAACCTGCAACCAGTTACGGGCAACGTTTGAAAGAAATCTGTGCATGGGGAAGGGAGCCAACAGGAACAGGAAATGTTTGAAAGAATGTAAACTATTTCAGTTTCATAAAAAGTAACAAGTAAACAGTTATTACATGCAAATAATGCCCTGGTTTTAATTAATGCTGAAAAGTCAAAATATGTTTGACATTTGTATGTATACATTGAACGGCTGAAAAGGAAAAAATGGTGCCCAGATGCCCACTTCTGAGCAGGGCTGGCGGCTCAGAGGGAACTAAAACCTTGAAAAGGTCTCGTTTATTGGTGTTGAAAAGTACAATTCTGCCTCAGCCTCTGTTGAGACTGGGAGCAGGGGGAACCTAGCTTACTCTCTTAACAAAGCTGGATGGGCAGGCCAGGTGCTTGGGAAGGGTACTCCCCAGTTTTCAGCAGGATGATCTTAAAGAGCCAGCAAGCTCTCAACTATCTGTTTCTCCAGGGCAGGGTTTCTAGGACTTCTCAACCCGAAGTGGTGAGGTGATGGTTTCAGGTCCTAGCAGCCCCTCCTACTCAACAGCCACTGGAGGCAGCCGCAGCCGAGCCTGGTCCTACCATCCTTCATACTGCCCGAGGCAGATCAGACAGGTCAGCACATCGGCCTTGATTCTGGGGTGGGAGAGGGTGGCCTTCGAGCTACACTTTCCAGTATTCAGCACCCTGTATGCATTCGTTTCTTTTCTAAACCACGTTAAGGCTCAAAGGGCTGGGGAAACTGTGGCTTTGGGAGACCACAGCTGTGGAGAAGCAGCCTCAAAGTGTGGGGGAGATTCTGCCCTGGTGGGGAGAGTGCCTGGGGTTCTTGGGCCCCGCAGACCAAGTATTTGTTTTCTAAACCACCTGCCGAAAAACTTACAAGGCCCTTTTTTGAGCTCGTTAATCTCCCCCCAGCATCTTTTGTGAAATCAGGGCACTTAATCAGGAGCGGGGAAGCATGGTGGAGTTCAGGAGTTAGTAAACCCTAGGGACCAGGAGAAAATTGTGGCTTTTTGTTTTTTTCTGGCAAGAGACCCTAACACTCTTCACATCTTCAAAGGGGTCTGTAACACTCTAACGGGTTACAAATCGCTGTTTTAGACGAACTGGACCCGTTTCTGGGGCTCCCATTTGGACCCCAAGGCCTCGTTCTCAGCTTCTGTTCCCCCCAACCTTTGCTATGGTCAATGTCGGGCCGGCGCGGTCTCCCTTCCGCTTACCTCGCCCACTGCGGCCCACGAAGCGAAGGTCGTTGAACCTGGCCACTTGGTTCTTCATGACGGCGGAGGCGTTGCGCAGTTCAGCGGAGTAGTTCTCATCGTTGCCTGCCATCACAGTCACCACCGTTCCATCCGGCACCTCCCCCAGAGCCACCACCTGAGGGCATGGGGCAGGGGGACAGTTCAGAAAGGCGGGGGGAGGCAAGGGAAGGGGGGAAGGGCTGGGGCAGGCAGCTCCCCTAGGTCCCAGGCGCACTGCGGATTTCTCAAAGGCAGGGTGGAGAAGAGGCTTAAAAACAATAGAGACCTTCCCCCAAATATAACAAAAACCAAAAGATCTCTACCTTCCGTACCAAAGTCTTAGAGAAATTGGTTAAGCTGTGACTTGCGAAATTATTCTTTGAATTCAATGAAATCTAAGCGAGAGCTGGGAACGAGCTCAGTCATGATGTAGGGTGCAGTTTCCTTCTTCCCTTCGCTTGAGCAAAAAAGGAGTCAACATTGCCTCCAGCAAAGTAAAAATAACAACAACAGTAAAAGTGGCACTCAAATAATGCAAGAGCCGTTCGGGGTATGAAATTGGGCCATGAAATGTGGCCCAGGCCCATTTTACCAGCTTCTGCATAGCCTGAATTCGTTAGGCAGGGAAAATGCAAAATGCAAAACAAACTGGTGTTTTGAGAGGGTTTGTACAGAACACCCTTTTAAAGTGGGAGAGGGGCTTTTGATAGCAGGAGGATGCACCTGCTGGGGATCGCAGGATGGGGGTGGAGATGCCCCCCTAGTATAGTCTCTCCCAACCCTCGCCCCAAGGAGCATGGAGAGGCAGATGCCTTTTGAAAAGGAATGAGACTGCAAACGCAGTCACAGCCATTTAAACGTGGCCACCGCGTGTAGGGACTAGGGATCCAGATGGTAAAAATTTCAAGGAGAAAATGTTTGGGGTCTGATTAAAAAGGCCAGATTTCCTGTCAACATCCTGTCTTCTTTTAATTTCAAAGATTCCTTTTAAGCTCCAAGTGACAGTAAAACCTCCGATCTGAGGATTAAAGTCACACGGGCCTCCCCTGCACACCCCAGCCCCCCAGGAGATTTTCCCCACTGGTATTTTAAGATGTCACCCGGGAGACCTCAAAGAGCCACTCATCCTTTTTTCCAATTTGGAGTCGCCTTAATGGGAGCAAGGATGGACTCAGCTGCCAGAAGCCGCTGTTTCCAGCCACCTCGGGCACCGCCACCCCCAGCCGCTGGCCCTTCCTGCCTTACTCTTTCTCACGGCAGCTGCGAGAGGTTTAGGGGAAAACCAAGGCGTTTTCGTTTCATCTCGCTGCCCCCTTAAAAAAAATGAAAATGAAACAGTCGCCTACTCCTTGGCAAAGAGAAAAAGATCGTCTGAATGACTGGGGGCCGCCGGGGTGCGAGCGCCCCCCCATCTCTGCCTGACATTTGGGATCCCAGCCGCAACCGTTTAGGGACAGTGTCTCTGATCGGGGCCCACAGCCGCCTGGTTAATATTCTGAAGCCAGAGTTTGAGGGTGTGAGCAGGAAGTGCTTCTGAAGCAGTGCAGGAGGAGGGGTGCCGGCAATGGAGGGCAGGCCCTAGCCACCCTCCGCACCCCACCTCCGGCGTCCTCGCTCTGGTGCCGGGGCGCCTATTCTCCGCCGCCCGCGGCTGTGTCCGAGGGATCCGGGTTGAAGGGGAGCCCAATCCGCCCCTTTCCCTATCAACGCTTCTCCGCAGGGCTCCCCGAAGGCGGAGAGGGGGCAAGCTTCCTAAAAGTCACCCGTGCGGGGTGTATTCAAGAGGGAACGCCGACAAAGTCTCCGCGCGGAACGCCCGGCGACACCGAAAGGGCCCTTGGCCCAGTTGCCCGGGTTTCGCTGCGGGGTCGCGGGCACGTCCCCTCCCCTCCGGTTCCCGGGGCCGACTCCTGCAGCTGAGATGCCCGGAGTCCCTGGGCCGGCGCCTGCCCTCCCCGGGTCCCGTACTTACCTTAAAGGCGACAGGCAGCGTCTTGTTGCAGCGCCAGTGCGAGGGCAGCACAGAGCAGAGGAAGTTGGGGCTGTCGGTGCGCACCAGCTCGCCCGCGTGGTCCGCCAGCACGTCCACCATCGAGCGCACCTCGGGCCGGGTGCGCCCTCCGGGCCCCACGGCCGCCTGCGCGCTCAGTGTGCCGCTGTTCTCGCCCATCTTGCCGCCGCCGCCGCCGCCGCCGCCGCCGCAGGGGAAGGCCGTGGAGGGAGGTGTGAAGCGGCGGCTGGTGCTCGGGTCTACAGGAATACGCATAACAGCGGCCGTCAGGGCGCCGGGCGGGCGGCGGCGGCGCGGCTCCCTCGGGGGCAGCCGGCGCGGGCGCTTCCTCGGCCGCCGCTGCCGCGAGAAGCGGGAAAGCAGAAGCGGCCGAGCCGGGGCCTCAGAGCGCAGGGGGCGGCGCCCGGGGACGCCCCGCCGGGGCCCGCCCGCAGCGAGGCCTCGCAGCCCCGACGGCCGCGCGCAGCCTGCCGGCTAGTCCCGCATTCTGGGCGCGCGGCCCAAGTGCGGCCACCCCTCGCGGCGGTCCCAGCTGCTTCGGGCGGCCCGGCTGCTTCGGCCGTGGCGCGGCCCGCGCGGGCTGTGCCGGCGCCGTCTTCCGCCCCCGCAGCCCGCTCGCGGCAGCCCCACCGACTTCGCGGCCGCAGCCCCAAAACAAATCCTCGAGAATCAAGTGGCGGCGCAGCGGCCGCCCGCGCGCGGGGTTAGTACCCCGGGGCCCGTGGGGCGGGGCCGGCCCGAGCGACGCCTTGCGCAGCCAATCGGAGCCCCCATCGCGGGCACCTCGGCAGTGCTCGCGGCGGGAGGGCGGGGGGGACCGGGGGCCGCCGGAGGCCGCCCCACCCGGAGGGGCGGAAGGCTTCGCCTCGCGCAGGACACTGGGGGTTGGATCCCCCCGCGCGATAGCCCAGGGCTCCTCAAGGGTTTCTGGGGAACTGGGGCCGAGGCTACAAATGTGTTTGAAACGTCCGGGTCCTCCAGAAGGCTCGTTTGCCGCCGCCTCCGGGGCCGCGCCTCCCTTTCTTTCCTCCTTCCCCACTGCCTGCGGTCGAGCCTCCCCAACGCCAGCTGCTTTCGGCCTGTGCTGCCTGCACCCTCACTGGGGACCCGCCGGGGGTCCCAAGGCGGGTGACGGCGCGCGGGGAGTTGCCCCAAAGAGGCTTTTCACTGCCCCGCCCGGAAATTATTTTGACCCCAAGAGCCTCCACCGCACAAGAGATTACGGGCGCGCCAGCAGCCTCCGCAGCTCCCAGCCCTGTGCAGCTCTGGTCCCGGCCTCGGAGGCCCCGGGTGCCAACCTGGGGACAGAGGGAAGATTGTCCCCCATGCGCACGCATCCGGCTTGGGGGCAACGAACCCCGTTTCTCCCCACTCTCCCCTCAAAACAACTGTCAGAATCGCTCAGGCCTCGCTGCGTTGTTCGTTGTGGAGGCCTGTGGCTGCTGGAAAACATGATGCAGCCTGAAAAACGAGAGTGCTTGTCCCTGATCCCCGCCCCCACCCCCAGCCCTGGTGCTTGTAACCACGGTCCTGTATCGTGGAAGAGGACGCCAGTTCGTGGCGAGAAGAAAACCGTGCGGGAAACGGGAACGGCCGCAAAGCCAAGGGCCCCGGCTTCCAAAGGAGGGAATTTCCTTCCTCCACGTGGATGCACACCGGCTCCCGCAGGTCCAAGCCCACGCCTTCCCGGGCGGTGCGCTCCGGCCGCGCCGCAGGAATGCAGACAGCTCTGCGGAGGCAGGGTCTGCTCGCTGGCCCTGAGTCCTCGCTCCCACTCCCCGCGGCGCGGCCCAACCTCTCTCGGGGCTTCACGTCAAACAATCCCCTCCTCTCCCGCCTCCTAGGCCAGGCAAGCGGGCCTAGGGAGCGGCTACAGAGGAGAGAGGAATAGAAAAAGATCAAGCCCCAGTCCCTCTGGATTATTGCCCCAGATGCGCTCCCTGGAGCCCGAGGAACGAACTCTTGCCGAGTGACCCCGCCGTTTTGGAGACTGGGTTGGATATTCGTTGTTCCCGGCACTTGACAGGTGCAAAACGACGAATGCCAAGCCTCGAGAGCAAAGAAGCAAAGGATCCGATGGTGACTGAAAGATCCCGCCCTGGATCTGACCTCGGCCCAGTGTGCGCCCTTTCGCCGTTGACAAACGAAATCAAGCCCGGCGTTCACTGCAGAACAGATGGGACCTGGCCCAGCCTCGACCGCCTGGAGAACTGGTCCCTACCCCTCTTGGAGCCTCCCATCAACTCCTCAGCCCATTTTGAAAGCAAGGACGGCGAGGGCCCCTTACTGGACTTTGTGGAGAGCCTACGCCAAGGCCCGCGCTCTCCGGAGCGCTGGCACTTGAAGCGGAACCAGAAGAAAGAGAGGGACCCGGACCTTGGTGTGTCCTACCTGTGGGAGCTTCCCAACGAAAGGCCCGCCACGTCGTAGCCAGGTAGGGCCCGGGGCCTGGGAGGGCGGGCCACGCTTGCTACCGTGGAGCGGCTGTGGGGCCAGGACCCGCATCATGTGGGGTTTGCAAATTCGATTCGGTTACTGGTTTCGGTTTGCACCCGTACCCTTACTTGCCCCTCCGCCTGATTTCTCCCTTTCATACGACAGCAGGTTTACAAACGGGTTTCCTGAGAATGGGGCTCCTGTGGGTCTCGGCACCTGGCACAGGACCGCCCTTTCCACCAGCCCTTGGAAGGCCGCTAGCTGAAGGTGGGCACCGGAACCAGAGGACCTTGGCTGTTGGCGCCTGGGTCTCCAGCCCGAGGTCACCAGCGGCCGACGGAGCCGGAGCAGTTCCGGGAGCCACCGCTAGTTGGCGCCTGCACTCTGCCAGCGGCGGAGTTGCTCCTGCAAACACTGCGCACACATGTGCGCCAGCTGCAGTCCCTTCGTCCAGGAGCCGGGGGTCATCTCTTAAGAACTGCCCTTTCTAGACAGACGTCCTGTCCGACTCCTCAACATCTGTGCGGCCACGTCTCGAACAAACCAAAGGCTTTGTGTCATACCGAAGGCTGACCTCCTCCTCCCTCCGTGGACAAAACGCTTCGACACTGGCCCGTTTTGCATTCGCATTTCAGACGTCTGAGAGTCCCTGCACCCTCGACCTGCAGAACATTCTTCCCGACAGAAATCCAGTCCTTTTCTGTCCGCTCTGGGGTCCGGTTGAGGAGGACGCGCAGAACAGACTAGCTCACGCCCCATTTCGACCTACTCCTTCCCCAGCCTGAACGGACAGACCTAGGGCTGTCCCTCTCCCACTTGGAAGACAGTTGGAGAGTTCCCACTCCCCTATCGGGAACACAGGGATACCCTCTCCCTTCCCCATCTCAAACGGACAGCCACCTCCTCTCATTCACCAGACTGATAGACAAACACCCTGCTTTCTCTCAAATGGCTCCCACATAAGAGCGCCCCAATTTGTCTGCAGCTGGGTCAGGACACTGGGAAGTCTGGGCCTGCCCTGGCCAAGAGCTGGGTAAACAGGGACCCAGCCTGGGCCTGCAGAGCCCTGGTCCTTTTGCCACTCCTTCCGCCAGTGCCCTTCACCCCAGGGAGAGGATCCAGTGGGTGAAAATGACCCTGTGTCAGGAAGCCCTCCTCCTGCCCCGCGAGGGTGGGGTGTCTAGGAGTGCACTCTACATGCCTTCCTGGTAATGACGTGCCAGCCAGAGAGCTTCCAAGGACAGATCTGACTCTTGGAGAGTCCTGGTGCTTTGGGAGGGTGAGGAACCCCCCATATGTGCCAGAAAATGGGTATATATATATGCTCTGGAAAACCTTCTAAGAGATCCCCCGGTTGTGAAGGGAGCTTGGGTATGCAATTCCACTACCTGAGTTTTTCTTCTTCCACCATCTACTCTGATCTAGGGAGAGTTGCTTAAAACCTCTTTGAGCCTCATCTGTGATATCTGTAAAGTGGGGGTCATAAGAGTGGCCTCTTCACGGAATCATGTGTAAAGTGCTTAGCACTGACCTGGCACATAGGGGATGCTCTGCCCCTGTGAGCTGTCACTGTTGTTATACTGTAAAAATAAGGCCTGATCACTCCTTGTCAGGGGCTCTTGGCAAGTCCCCTCCCCTGTGTGGGCCTCACGCTCCCCGTTGTGAATTGTCCAGTTCTCACGTCCATGGTCATCCTGCCTCCTTGGTTCGCCTAGGGGCTGCCTGGGGAGGTAACGACTGTCTGTCTCCTGACCCCAGACAGAGGCAGCTTGCAGGAGGGCTTTCAGAATCCATCACGGGGCTGTCTGTGGACCTGCACCTTCCTTAGGCTCTCAAGCCCTCACTCTGGAAACCCACTGCCCCCCATCTCTCCCCCACCGCCTCCCACAGGCACTCCCCTAAGTAGGAACAGGCCTCAGCTGACACTGTCAGCCACCACTCCCCTCCTGCCCTTCCTAGGGGGCATCTGTTCCCTTGGTCCCGAGTCTCACAGGAGCCCCAGTCCAGGGGCTAGTACAAAGGACTGTCTTCTAGGAGCTAATAGTTTCCCCACTTTAGCCTCCACACCCCAACTCCAGAGGATGCACATCACCATCCACCCTCCAGCCTGGTGCTCGGAACTCCAGGTGGGACATTCCTGTCCCTCACTGAGCCTGAGTTTCCTCTCCTATGAAGAGAGGTCATTCTAATCGCTCCATTTTACAAATCCAAAGGATTAAGAACCTCCTCTCGGAGGGGAGGGGCATCGAGTTTCACGGATCTGAAATACCATCAATTGTTCCACATGAAAGAAAGAAAAAGGACAATACTGCTAATTAAACCAGCACTTGCCTGCATCCTGGTTTTAGATGTACATATTTATACATATATAATTATACATTGTATTACATATATTACATATTATATATATATATATATAAAGTTAGAAAGGGTCATGAAAAAACTATTGTATTTGAACAGCTATTGCTTCAGTGTTGGGGGCCCTCACCCCAGGGATCCAGCTCTGAGCCATCCCTCCTGGGCAGCCTCTTGAAGCCTCCAGGATGTGCGGGCAGACAAGTGCGCGTCTCAAATTACCAAGTTCTGTTTTGCAAGGAGCCAGACTCCGCAGGGAGCAGGGGAGCTGGGGAGAGCCCTGTGGTTAGGGTACAGCTCTTGGCTCTGCCACTGACTGGCTCTGTAAGTTTTGCACATCTCTGAGCTGTGGTCCCCTGGCCAATATAATGGGAAGAACAGTGACAGCCACATTTGCTGAGGTGTTACCGGGTCCAGGCACTGCGTTTGGGCTTTAAAGCGCATCATCCCATCCTCACAGCAAT